ACTCGTCTTCTCGACCAGCGGCGGGAGGGCGCCATGCGCCCCAACTTCATGCTGCATGGGCGAGGGGGGCACCTGCGTCGCAAGTCCGGGGACGAGGTGCCCTGCCTTGCGGACCGCCCGCAATCGAAGTAGGCGTTGCCCAGTCGCGCGGGTTCTCTCGCGGAGGCGGGCGCGCTTGATGGGGTCGCGCTCGGCGCGCATCAATGCCGAAGACTTCCAATGCCGTGGCGCACTTGTATCCCAAGGACCCCTGGCGCTTACCAGCGCGACTCCCAAGACGAGGATGGATGCTAGCGGCCGCGTTTCTATGTCTGGCAGGCGGATGCCCCATTAGAGGCAGAACGTGCAACGACAGTACTGGCAACACCAACGATGGACATAATAATACAGTCGGTGTATATACGAGGCGAACGACTAATGCGATCAGCATGCTTAAACGACGCGTCGACGGGCGCGAGCGCAAAGCACCGCGGGGAGAACGCGGCAAAAGGCCCCCCCCTGGAAGCACCCCCTGCGCGGCCCGAATGAGAGCAGCGAAACAATCATCCCAAGATAGACACCGTGCTGCCACGTGCATACAACTGGCCAAGATCAACGCGCTGACGGGGAACCGCGACGCTTGCGCGCTCCAGCGAGCAATCGCTAGCGCGCGCGATCGAAGCGTTTCTCAATGACCGCTGGCGCGTAAATCGTGCCCGCCGAGTCCGCGCCCTCGAAGAAGGCAGTGTTCGATTGTGCGAGGAGGCGTGTGGCGCAGTCTGCCGCGCTCTTCAGCGCGCCCGAGGCAACGCGCGGCCCCCCCAACTCTGAAGGGGCCCTTGGACACACAAATAAATACACACAAATAAAAGGATTCCCCATATTTTCCTATATTTTCTGAGTTTTTGTCTTCCCCACCACTTCCCATATTTTCCCATTTTCTGGGGGGGGCGACGATTAATTGTGTCTGTGTGTTTCTTTCCCTCCTGAAGCTCTCCGGCCCACCGTCGCACCCGATCGGGGCGAGCCTCCCCCGGCACCCGACGCAGCGATGCCGGGGGCGCGATGGGGCGGTGTCCGCCAGTGAGTTTAGGCGGGGGAATCACGCGCGCATGGGTCATCAGCGACGGCAGGAGGCCCAGAGACCCACACGAAAAGAGCAGGCGCCCCACCAGCGAGAGGCAAACGTCGGAGACGAGCGACCAATGTCTCGGGTGGGAACGACCCACGCCCCCGGCGGCGCCTGCGGGGCTACTCTACGCAGCGCAACACTCCGAACATCGGAATCCGCGGCGGCGGGGGCATGGGTCCAGAGCCCAGGAAACATTCCCGGTCACCGAACTGGTTGCCCCCGCCACAGCCCGGGAATTGAAGTCCTTAAAATCTCATCAGAGGCCCAGCCCCTGCCGCTCAGCTCCCCGAGACGACCTCCGGAGAAATCGCAGTGTCCCCAGGGCGCCACCACGGCCCAAGACTGGTATTGACCTGGGGCGGCTTCCATTCCCGAGGTTTCGCCCAGCGGTGGACAGCTCCTGGTTTGCTGCGAAGTGACTGGTTTAGCCAGTTGTCGAAGGACTCTGGGCGCCCTGTTCCGAGCTGGCGCTCTCCAACCTCGGCGGGCCCCCCGAAGTAGCCACCTACGAACTGTTGCATGCAGCGCATGCGCTGAGGAAGCTGCACCGCGAGACATCGCAGCATGCGCATAAGAATGGGCGCGATAACTTCACGCAGAAGCCGCGTAAGTCGACCGCCCCGCCACTTCCGACCCACGAAGGAAATGTTATCTGGCCACAGACGCGCGCGCAAGGCATGCTGAGAGCGAGCGCGCGCGCGCGTCGTCAACCATGTGCCCGCAGCTGCAGCGCGCGAAGCGGGCGTGAACTTTGCGCGTTCGCAGGTTGTGCGCGTGCTATAGCGCCCACAGCTGCGCTGGCAATCTCCCTCTCTCTCTCTCTCTCTCTCTCTCTCTCTCTCTCTCTCTCTCTCTATATATATATGGGCCCGGAAGATCAACGCCGAGACAGCTCTTCGGGCGGCGCGAGCTCTAACGCGGGGGTGAGCTCGCCCTCTGCTCTGCGATAGAGGTCAGCACCTATGGGGTCTTATCGTCGCAGGTGGTCGGGCCCTGCACTGAAGCCTGCTGCCGAGTCTCCGCGCGCGACCTGGGGCCGTTCAACCGACAAGTCGCCGTGCCATCGTCTCCCTGACTGGTGTCCGGCTCAAGGCCCCGCCTGCCGACGGGCCCGCCGTGCCCTTGCCGCGGGACCTACAGAGACCTGGATAAGATAATGCACGCGAGATGGGGGGCCGCCAACAATCTCTGGGTCCGTCGTAACCCTTGCGAGCCAGTCACTGGCGAGCCAGGAGTCGATGGTGTCGTTGCCCCCCGTGCCAGGATCCCTGCGCGCGCCCTCGGCGGCGGCGGCAATGCCAGCATGCAATCGCTCGGCCACCACAGAAGAGCAGAGAACATCTGCCGAGACGTTCCAGTCGCCCCCGACAGTGAAGGGCAAGCCGCAATAGCTGAGGCAGGCCCCCGACTTGGCCAACCTGGCCGCTATGGCACCACCGAGCTCGAGGCCCTGTTCGAGGTGCAGGGGGGCAGCGATGAAGCCTCCGCAAAGGCCCGTCTGCACGAGCACAGCCACGCAATGGGCGCGCACCGCCGCGTAAGCAGGGATGAGGCGGTCCGTTTGACCATCCCAATGCGCCTCCTGCTTCAGAGCCCAACGCCAGCAAATGGCTTCCCAAAGTATGAAATGATCGCGTCGGTGATGAAGGCCTTGGAGGCCGGCTTCTGGAGACCACTCCTCAGCCTGCAGCCGACTGCGACCAGAGAGATGGGTCGCTTGAGCTGCCACAGCGACAACGCGTCGAAACCAATCAAGACAATCTCGGACTAGAGGACAGCCCGAGCAGTGGACAGATGCAAGCTGCATGTCTGTCCTCTTCGCCCCCCGTTGGCAACAACGTGAGCGCGCAGTAGGGCCATGTTATCTAGTGGAAGAGGTCGCGGCATGAGTCGAGGATGTAGTTTTGGCAAGAACCAATGCTTGCGCACCAGATGGCCCCTCGCCGCACACTTGCTGCTGGGGCCCCACATGGACGACAGCTGGAGCCAGCTGGAGCCTCTCGCCTCCGACATGACTCAAAGTTGCCAGGGGGTTCGTCAAGTCATCCAGCACAGTGGCGACGCGCGAACCTGAGGCAAACTCAGGAAGTGCAGGGGGAGAAGTTGGCATCAATCTTCTTTCGCCACTTGAACGTCCCAACGCCAACTCAGGCATCAACTCTGCCTCGCCATGCTCCGGGCCAGGGTCGAAAGCACGAATCGAGCCATCACTACACACCACAGCACCGCTGAATAGCTCCTGCCCCCATGTCGCCATCGCCGTCTCGATCGAGGTGTCGGGATCTCATGCAGAAGGTGTGCCAGGAGCAGGAACAGAATGTGGCGGTGGAAAAGCAGCGCCAGCCTGGGCTTATCTGAATGTCGCAAAGGCCGCCTGCAAGTCTACGATGTGGGCGCCGAGGGAGTCAATCATGGCACCTTGAGCGTCCTACGTGACAGAAGGGCCGGCCTGCACCACGCGCTCGAGCCTGTCCACGGCATCGGGAAAACTGTTGGGCGCGCTCGTGCCCCACCGCCTCCCCCATTGACCATGACCGCGGCTCGGGCCACGGATACCACACCTTGTATGTAAGAAAGTTCTGCTGCGACCTGCTGCAACTCATTGGACTTCGTGTCGCGCTCAGAGCTGAGCTTGTTCACTAAGGCCTGCAGGGCCGTAGCCTCACGATCCTTGGCCGATTGGCGATCAGGTGCTCGACGAAGGGGGTCGTCTGGTGAACGCTGAGCGCATTCGGCTGCCCCAGCGTCGGTCGACTCTTTCTTGGCAGCGAGAGCGAGGGGGCTGGTGTCGTCCAGGCCGGAACGTCGAGACGCAGGATGTGTTTTCCGAGCTCGGATGGCCGCTTTGAGAGCTCCATCCTCCTCAGACATGTCGGCCTCATTTTTGTGACGAGTCCCAACTGGCACACATGGCTTACGAGTCCCTTTAGGCACACATTGCCTGCGGGGTCGAAAAGGGGGCCGCTGAGAACGGTCTGGTGAGCCCTGTGATCTGGTGGACCGCACGTGTAACGCTTCTGCTTCGAACTACAAGTACTGACGAATGGCGACGCACGTCCATCTGGGCTCTTCACCCGCATCTGTACCACGCCTCTCAATTCCCGTCATCAAGGTAGGCGCACGTGCGCCGAGATGATAATCAAGAAGACGGCGGCTTGCTTCCAGTCTCAACTCCCACCTGGCAGAACCCCTTTGCCGTCTATCCCGACGGTGCCATGAAGGTGAACGCGATCTGGGTCTGGTCGTGGCCGTACCTCACAAGGTCGAAGCGGCACCGCACGAGGCAATAGTCGACCAGATGGCGCCTGAAAGGCGCAGCGCAGAGGTCTATCGCGGGCAGTGGGCACTCAGCTGGGAACATGTACAATTCGCGGCACGCCTGGAGCGGACTCTTTACCCCTAGGAGGAGGAGGAGGAGGAGGAGAAGGAGGAGGAGGAGGAGGAGGAGGAGGAGGAAGAGGAGGAGGAGGGGGAGGAGGAGGAGGAGGAGGAGGAAGAAGAGGAGGGAGGAGGGAGGAAGGAGAGCAGGAGGAGGAGGAGGAGGAGGAGGAGGCGGGAAAGCAGCGGACCTGCAGCAGCAGGGAGGGGTGAGCATCGTTTGACCGAACCCTATCCCCACGGGCGTGGCCTGGGCCACACTGGCCGATAGAATCATCCCCCTGGATGGGGATGTGGGCTGTTCCCTTCGAGTCTCGAGGGGCATATCCCCAACCGGGGTGGTGGGATGGTGGGGAGCTGCACGGGGATGGAGAAGGGGACAGGGGATCGGTTCAACGATGCCGAAGGTGCCGAAGGGGGGGGTGCCTGGAGGGCGGAGGAGGAGGAGGAGGAGGAGGAGGAGGAGGAGGAGGAGGAGGAGGAGGGAGGAGGGAGGAGGGAGGAGGGGGGCCTGGAGGGCGGCCCCGGGCGACGTCGGCACGAAGGCGCGGGCCGCGCACCACAGCGAGCCCGCCAGGGCGAGCGCGCCTCGGGGGCAGCGGGCCCCGCTGGGCCGCCCGTCTCGGCGATCCTCAGAACGCGTGTTGGCGCCAGCGTGCGTTTGCCGGCTTGCGGCCCTTCAAGACGACGAAGGCGATGCAATGATCTACTGGTGGGGATTGACGGGGGCAACACACACATCAGGCTAACAGCTAACACACGTCCTGATGATCATCGATGATGGGCCCAGTTTCCACCACCTCTACCATAGGCAGGAGAGGGAGGAGGAGGAGGAGGAGGAGGAGGAGGAGGAGGAGGAGGAGGAGGAGCTCCTCATCCTCCCTTCTCCCCCGTCATACACATGCCAGTGGTGGTGGGAAACTGGCCCCTCAATCGACCGTCTTGAGGGGCACAGGGTCGAACCCTTTCGCTCTTCGCCTGCCGCGTCGCGAAAAGGGCCCCGCGACACGCTGCGCATGCCCTGCGAGCGGAGGCGCGCACGGCGAAGCCGGGGCGAGGGCAGCATCGGGTGAGGATGAATCGGCGGTGGACAAACCTCCCTTTAGTAAACCTCCCCTTAGTGAAAACGGCCTGGGACCGAAACCGACGGACCTGGACCCGAAAAAATGACGGCCGCGACGCCCTCTCGCGAACCGAAAACGACCAATTCCTCAATCGACGTGTCAGGGTAGGAGGTCTATCCACCTCCGAATGAATCGAGGAACTCTGAGATCCCGTGGATCTGGAAAACGTCTCGGGCGCCGCGGCCTCTTCCATGGCGCTCCGGCACGCTCCGAGGGCGTTCCGGCACGCTCTCTGGAGCAGGTTCGACCTCCTCCCAGCAGGCGTCCGACGGTGCCCTGCGAGCGGGGGGGCGTGTCGCTCTCCTCTCCACTCCACGTCGACATTTCGGGACCGAGACGCGGTTCGCGTGTCGCGCCGAAGTGCGGCAGGCCAGATCCAGCGGCGCAACACGCTAGGGAAAGGCTGCCGACTGTTGTGGGGGTCCATCGACCCAGACCTCCGCAGCAATGGTCTTCGGCCCCAGCGTTTTCCTCCCGTTCCGGCCTCTGGGGGCCGTCTTCGGACGCCGTGGCCACCAGAGAGAGAGAGAGAGAGAGAGATCCCAGGACAACAAATGGTCCCAAGGGAAGGGGTCGGGAGCTCAAGCTCCGCGGATTGCAACATCAGATGATCGTCGGATGTGCTCGTGTGGGCGCCCGAAAAGGGTAACGGAACAAATGGGCACGATGCCCAACCACAAAGGTGACAGCGGCCGCTTCCGTCTCGAATGTGCAACGCTCGTTGCGGCACCAATATCGAGTCCTCTTCAGACTGAGCAAGAACTGATATCGGTCTTGTGCCCCTTCTTTTGATACCCATTTCGACCGTACCGAGATTGGGGAACCCTTCGCATGTAGATCGTGCTCCCAGCCAGCGTAGTTATAGAGGGAAGCGCTGGAAGGTGGATGAGCCGAAACCAGTTGGATGCGGCAAATGGTGTGTCTCCTCCCTTTCCCAACCCCACCCCTGCGTCCACCCCTAGGACACGACGAGACGAATCTGTCATACGTCGTACGTACCCGAACGACTCCATACGACCGCCTCGGAGCTGGAAGGTCCGCAACGAGGGCCGTGCACGCCGACTTCGGCACCGAAAGGCATCTCCTGGATCTGACCAAGGGCGCGTCCTGACCAGGATCTAGAATCGGGGCGTTGACCTAAGGAACCCTAAATAAGGAACGAGGCCACTTTTTCCCACAAATTCAACTTCGACTTCCCATGGAAAATCTAAGGAAAACAAGAGGCAAACTGTAAAACAATCAAGGGACACCGAGCCCCTCCCGAACGAAAAGTGCTCCTTCTCCAGCGCCCCGACCGTAGAGGCGGGCCTGGCCGTGGCGGCGAGGAGCACCCGGCGGAGGCTCCGAACAGAAAAGCGCACGCGGACCCACGCCCCCGACGTCACGCTCTGCCCTAGTCGCCAGCACCAGGAGGGCTCCCCCCGGGGGCGGGGCGTTCAGCCAAGGTGGGTCCCGGACGCCGCGGCTCGAGCGAGCCTCTGGACGCCGACCGACATGCCAAACTGGCTCGCCCGAGCTGCCTGCTGCCCCGGAGGCGTCGGCCACCCCTCCTCCCTCAAAATCGACCCCCTGGACCCATCCCGCGGCCAGACTGTCGAGGCGCATCCAGCCGGGGCGCGTGGCCGCGAGGGCGCCTGCAGGCCCAAAAGGCAGCAGAGGCCGCGCAGAAAAAAAAACGGCCCCGACGGCGACGGCAGCGGCGACAGAGCACGTACGCACCACCGTTGCAGACGCATGAGCGCAGACCCGTCGGAGGGTGCTGGCCTGTTGGTTGTAGCACTGTGCGGAAGTAAAAACGAACAAAAACCTCGATGACTCATCGATCGATCGAGCGATGGACGGCGACGCCCTCCGCGCCAGCGCCGGCGCGCTCGCGCTGCGCCTGGCCCTTCTGCTGCTTGGGCGCCATGGCTTCGGGCGCGGTCGCGGAGCCCCGAAAGGGTCGCTCGAGCGGCCAGGGGCTGCCGAAGGAGGGCGGAGGGGAGGGCGATGGGAAAGGGGACGCACCCATCCTTCTCCTCCTCCTGCTCTTCCCTCTCTCCCCCCTCCTCCTCCTCCCCGCCCCTTCCTACCTCCTCCCCCTCCTCCTTCCTGCCCCTCCTCCTCCTCCTCCTCCTCCTCCTCCTCCTCCTCCTCCTCACCTTCCGCCTCCTCCTCCTCCTCCTTCTTCTCCTCCTCCTCTTCCTCCTCCTCCTCCTCCTCCTCCTCCTCATTCACCTCCTCCCTCCCTCTCCTCCCCCCCCCATCCTCCCCCCCCCTTATCCTCTCCTCCTCCTCCTCCTCCTCCTCCTCCTCATTCTCCTCATCCCCCGTCTCCTCCTCCTCCTCCTCCTCCTCCTCCTCCTCCTCCTTCTCCTCTTCCTCCAGAATACCTCGCTGCGGCCCTCGTGCTTCAGCGGCGTCGGGAGGAGAGATGAGGAAGGAGTTGGGGACGAGGAGGATGAGGAGATGGAGAAGGAGGAGGATGAGGAGGAATAATCATAAGGAATACGAGGAGAGTGAGCATGAGGAGGAATATTCACTGAGAGGTAGGAGGACGAGGTGGAGCGGGAGGGGAATTTCGAGGAAGAAAAGGGGGAGGAGGTGGAAGGATGGGGAGAGGTGTGAGGAGGATGAAGGCACGCCCAGATTGTGCGGGCATCTACAGCGAGGCGCTCGTTCGGCGCCCCCGACCCTCTCCTTTCAGAGCCCCATGACCACCGCGATGTAGCAAGCTTGCCACTTGGACACCCAAGGGGGAAGCCGCGTTGGCGTGTTACACTCGCTCGTTTGCGCACATGTTGTGTGTATGTCTCTAACGAGGCGCTCTTTTGGCGCCCCCGACTCCTCTCTCTCTCTCTCTATCGGAGCCCCGCATCAGACATAGCGCGTGCTACACTCCGTTCGCGCCCAGATTGTGGGGACATCTCGCCCGATTTGCACCTCAAAGTCCTCTCCAGAGCGCCATGACCACGGCGATGTGGCAGGCAGAGCACGTGGGCACACCAACCTGGAGCCGCCAAGGGGGTTGCACTTGCCCGTTGCCGGCCAGATTGAAAGAATGTTTATATGATGCTCGATGCGAAACCCTGGTTTGGGCGCCCACGACCGCTATCCAGGAAAGCCCAGAATCGAATCGATAAGTCGGATCGGCGATCGGTATCAAATCCGCGGAAATCGGCAACCGAGTCGGGAAAAGTCGAATCGGCGGAAGTCGGCAGGCCAGTATGCCTCCAATGAGAAATCGGAATCCAAATCGGAATCCGAAGTCGAATCGAATCGGAATCGGAAGCCACCGAAATCGAATCGGATTGAACCGGAGGAGTCGAAATGAGCCCTGGCTCTCCCATCAGAGCCCCATGATCACCGCGATGTAGCAGGCACAGCACCTGCGCACACCAAGCGAGGGAGCCGCTGGGGGGTGGCATAACGGCAGCAGAGAGAAGGCAGCATACCGGTGGCAGCGAGGGGCGCTCACTTCGGTGGAGCTCCCTATGGGGCCGCGAAATGGAAGTCCTCGTCGTCGGGGTTCGTCGGTCCCCAGCACTGGTTGAAGGCGTCACGCCGCTTGCGTCATCCGCTCCGCTTCCGCGGTGAAGCGTCGGAAGGAGGCGTGCCTGACCATCGCGCCCCGTAGTTAGCCCCGTGGATGGCGCCGAAAGTGCCGTCAAAGCAGAACATGAAGGCGCAGAAACCGTATGCCAGAGTCAGTCGCGCGGTCCCGGGGAGAGCACGTGGCAAGGATCGCCACTCGGACTTGCACGCGTTCCGTCCGACGTGCGCTTAGCTTTCACGCTCGAGCACTCGCCGGTGAAGGCGCCTGGCACTGAGGTGCACATGTGGGGATCTCCGTGTCAGAACTTCCCCCTGACCAGAGGCGACGGCGGCGTCGGTGGTTCGGGTCGGGCGAAAAAGGGGGAAAGCAAAGGGGGGGTTTGAGAATCAGCTCACGTAGCTGATTTTCCCGGCGCCTCCCGGCGCCGGAGGCGCCCATGTATCGAGGAACGGGCCCGGCAGCGGGGCCAAAACCAGCTGCATGCAGCAGATGTCGTAACCCCCCCTTTCCCTATCCCCCCATTTCGTCCGGCCCGAGTGGTGGTGGCGGCGGCGGGGGCGAAGACTGGCACTACGGAGCCGCCTTTCGGCAGCACGCAACTCTCTCTGGGGGGGCAGGGACACATCTTCCCACACGACCGGCGGCGGCGGCGGCGGCGCTGGGCGGCGAGGGCGGCGTCGGTGGTTGCGCGGCGAGGGCGCAGAGGCGGCGACGGCGGCGGCACAGGGCGGCGACGGCGGTGGGATCGCAGAGGCCCCCTCTTGAGCAGGGACCGACTGTCCTGGCATTCCTGTAGGCCTGCAGCGACATGGTCTAAGAACCCCCAGGATCTCCCAAGAACAAAGCCGACGCTCTCAGAGCGCAACCCCGACGTGTTCCAACGGGAGCGTGAACACAGGACGGTCTCGGCTAGACATGCTCTGAGAACACTTCCTGCAGACCACGACAGGTTCCCAGGACATCCTCAGGTGCGCCCATGGGCGCGCCAAGACGCTTCGCCATTGCTTGACTCGGGGATGGACAGACCCCCCTTTAGTAAAACGTGGTTTAGTGAAAACGACCTGAGGCCCAAACCTGGCGGGCGCAATCCTGGAAAATAACGGCCACGGCGCCCTCTCGAGAACCGAAAACGGACAATTCACTAATCGACGTGTCACTGTTGGGGGTTCTATCCACCCCCGATTGACCCCCGGGGCCTGGCCAGCTCCGGCCTGGCGCCGGCCGTCGGGGGGGCGCTGCCCGCGGCGCCGCTGCCGCCCGCCAGGGACGGCAGGGAGCCGCCGCGGGGCATCGGCTTCCTGGCGGCGGCGGCGGCGACGGCCAGGCGCCACGGCCGCCGCGACGCGGCCGCGAGAGGCACGCCCGGCGAGGAAGGAGGAGGGGCTTGCGTTCCACCACCACCACCACCACCAGAAGTGTGAGGGGGAGGGGGTCCTCCTCCTCCTCCTCCTCCTCCTCCTCTCCTCCTCCTCCTCCTCTCCTCCTCCTCCTCCTCCTCCTCGTCCTCCTCGTCGTCTCCTCCTCCTCCCTTCCCTTCCTCCTCCTCCTCCTCGTCCTCCTCCTCCTCCTCCCCTCCTCCTCCTCCTCCACTTCCTTCCTCTCCTCCTCCTCCTCCTCCTCCTCCTCCTCGTCCTCCTCCTCCTCCTCCTCGTCGTCGTCCTCCTCCTCCTCCTCCTCCTCCTCCTCCTCCTCGTCCTCCACCTCATTCCCCTTTCCAGCTCATGGTGGTGGTGGAAGACAGGCCCATCCAAAGAGGGGACCCTGCCTGGCCACGGCGAGCTGCAGCCAAGGATCGGCTCCCCGACGCAGAGCTGATGAGCGGCCCGGAAAAGCGGGGGCCCCTCCCGAGCACAAGGGGGCCCCTCGTGTCAACGTCTGGGGCGCACGTGGCCGCGGGGGGCACCGTCCCTGCAGAGCCATGCTGCCTCGGGGGCTGACGATGCACGCGCGGTGCCACTTCTGGGGGGGGGCAAAGCATCCCCCCCAACACAATAACCACCCCGACATGCGAAGCCGCCTACTAAACGCCCCCACTGAAGGAATCGAACAGGGCAGGGCTGTTTAGTAAACGCCCAAGGCCGTCTACAAATAAACGCCAATTGTCCGGTCCGGGTGGTTTTTCCTCCCTCGACATGTGGCGGGGAAGCCCGCCTCCCCTCAGAATCCAGCTCACCAGCAGACGTTGCCCTCCAGTTGCGGTGCCCCTCCGAGGTCCTAACGAGGCGGCCCGAAAGATGGGCCCCGAGGGGCCCCAGACTGACTCGGAGCGGACGACGACGACAGCTCAAGGCACTCGGCGTTGTGAAGAGATCGCGGTGTCGTGGGCACTGAAGGAGAGGAGGCCCTGGATACCCCTGGGCTAGCATGGGCCTGCCCGATGTCCCGAGTCGTATTCCGACGGCCCCACGGAGGGTCTCGGGAGGCCGAGTTTGAACGGGCCCAGGGAGACACAAGAAACGACGCCCAAGTTCAGTGGTTCCCTTAATCGCTCCATCTGTTCTGGATGCTCGTCTTCCCCTCCACCTCCCATCTTTTCCAATATCTGCGTGGTGCTAGGTTTACCTGTGTCCGTGCCTAGTTTTATGTCGGGCGTGTACCCCTACATGACAATTTTCGATGAAAAACAAAACATCCCCAAAAATACACCAAAAAGGCAAAAAAGTATACAAAAAATTGTCCCCGGACTATTTGTTGATTATTTGTTGGCTATTTTTGGAATATTTTTCATTTTTCGTCGAAAATCCCCCTGCGGGGGGACAGGCCCGACTTATGCCTAGTTTGCTCTCCAGAGGATATATGGCGAACGCCCAGAGAGCCATCGGGGCCCCGTGGGCTCTCAAGGCGGTGCTCCCAGCCCGCTCCCTGCCGGACTCTCCTGGGCCGGACGCCGCTCCGTCCGCGCGCCCAGGCCTCCGGCAAAAAAGGGAATGTCTTGCTCCGCTCCCCCCGCGGGGCCCGGAGGAGCCCCCCCCCGCAAGCCGAGGCGGAGGCCACACAGCAGGACTCATCTCGGGTCGGGCGAAAGGGGGGGATAGCAGAGGAGGGGTTTCAGAATCAGCTCACGTAGCTCATTTTCCCGGCGCCTCCCGGCGCCGGAGGCGGCTGTGTATCGAGGAAGGGGCCCCATCGGTGAGGCCGAAACCAGCTGCATGCAGCGAATTTCGTAACCCCCCCTTTCCCAATCCCCCCCTTTCGCCCGGCCCGATCCTCCTGGCCATCGCTCGGACGTCCATTCCCTGTGCTTCTTTCGGTTTCGCGCGTGGCTTTTTCGCATGATGACCCAGGATGCTCCCTAAGAATCCCCGCCGAGAACAAGTGCACACGTCCGAGCGATACCAAGCCTCCCGAAAAGCACCCGAGTGGCGGCAGGAGGG